GTATACATAGAAAAAAGAATGTCATTCAATAGAAAATTCTGCAAACAAATTGGCATTTTCTAGCTAGTAATTAACCAAACTTACCCAACGGTACATATTGTTGTTATCTTCTTCTAGCATCCGCCTCTGATCATATGCATAAAACATGGTATTAATCATTAAAGCCGCAAGCATAAATATCACTAATTAGTTTTTTTTTAATGTGTGATTAGAGTGCGACCTTTCTGCTTAGATTCTCCAACTGTTGTCGCATCAACTCATTCTTCAATATATTAACATTAGAGATAGCAAAGAGAGATTAAACCAAAATGTAATTAAATATAGTTTTAAGAGAATATATATATTGATATAGGCATATTATATTACGTTACCTTACGCTCGCGAACTTTAAGGACAGAATGTTCGAGCTGTTGCTCTAGTCCATCGAGCTCCTGTGGAGGAATGGAAGCTAAGTCATGGCCATGGTATGGACGCAGACGAAGCTCAAGCTTACATGTCTCTCTTCTTAGTACTTCTATCTCATGGAAGAATTCATCCTATACGCACAAGAAAATTCCAAATTAAATTATCATTGATTTTTGTAAAAAATGTTATTTTCTTTGTTTTAAATTGGTAAACACCAAATGAATAAGTATATGCATATATACCCGGTTGTCATTAGGATCAGGAAGTTGCAATCCGTTAGTCTGCAAGTATCGGTCAATGAGCTGAGGCATCCTATTCAACATTGGTAATTATGAAATGTGATCAAATTAGTATCTTTAATCTCACAACGTCAAGACTTCAGTAATCATTGGAGGAACACAAGTATCATAACGAACTAGTCCTCAAGTTTATGATCTATAGATATCCTTTGCCAAACCAAAACAAAAAGTATCTTTATTTTTTGACCATAAATATTGGTTACAAGCAAACAAAATTAAAATGTGTTTCTAATTTTGTGTGGGAAAAACCCTTAACATGTGAATAAATTAGTGTTTTCATATTGTAGCTAAGAGCTATCTATATGTGAATGAATTAGTCTTCTATATACATAAATATATTTGTTGTAAATATTAGAAAATGTACTACAACAGAAACTGAGATCTTTTCATGAAACAGGTTGAACAAGAAATGTCAAATCTCTGAAGGTCTCTTTGTTGGGCAGGTGTAGAATATATATAATTTGACCTTAATAATCATATGTAATCATATATACTAATTAAAACTTCAAGAATAAATATATAGCATCGGAGAGATTATTAACTTCTGCGTCGAATTTAAATTAAAACATAGTCATGACTATCTGCTACTTCAGAAGCTAATGATGAACACTGTCTGTTCACAAGCACGAGGAGTATATCTCTCTCTCGTATCATCATTTAATTAGACCAATACAGTTGACTAAACCAAGTAAGAAAAGATCAATACATACATGTAGACATGTGTGTATAGATTTCTGAAACCCTAATTTTAGAGAGAGAGGTAGAGAAGAAGAAGCTAACGTGATGGGTTCGGTGCAGTACTGGTAGAGCTTTCCGGTGGTGGAGAAGATGATGAGACCGATGTGAGCATCGCAGAGAACAGAGAGCTCATGAGTCTTCTTGATAACACTACTTCTTCTCTTGGAGAAGGTCACTTGCCTCGTTGTCTTATTCTCTATCTTCTTTATCTTTATCTTACCTCTTCCCATGTCTCTCCTCTTTCTCTTATTCCCACTTTCCTCTTCCTCCTGATTCAATTGTATATGTCATGAGTGGGTACATATGAAAAGATTAGATCAAGTAAAAAATATCTAATTAACTACAAAAACAAGAATCTAAAACCATAAAGTTAATTACAGGATTCATTTCAAAGATGGTTTTGAGGATCTGGAAGCTGAGATCAGTAGTATAGGAGGTTGGATGACACAAGGAGGAGAGAGTTTGAAGGTGAAGAATGTGCTTAATCACACTTTCTCTTTTCTCTATAATTATGTGTGTAGCGTGTCGTCACCATTTTCTAATATTATATCTCTTTATTCTCCTTGCTTGCATATATACATTAGTAAGTTGTATTAGCAAACTGAAGACTGCAAATAATTATATATAATGGTTAACTATTTTAACATCGACAATTTTTACTGAGTTGTGCGATAAACCATGGTCAGCAATATACTAGTGTCTTGCTATGCCTTAACTTGTACACATGACCTATATGTGTGTGTACTAATATTTATAAGAAACTTTATATGAATTCATATTATTTTTATTTTATCTGTACAGTTAATTAACTAATTAAGATTTATACACAATGCTTCAATCAGTACAGTTAATTAACTAATTAAGATTTATACACAATGCTTCAAACTGCAAAGTAAAAAAAAAAATTAAGCTATCAGAAATTATAATAAGTAGTTTAATGATTTGTAAATTGACATGTAATGGTAGTTTTCGTAATTTCCTTCACAAACAAGTCCCTTTTATTAGTCAAATCTCTAACCACTAGTTTTTAACTGTAATGCATGACGCAATTTGTAAAGATCCTAAAATGGAAACTTCGTGAAGAATTGTTAAAAAGAAAACAAAGTTACCACAATGGGCAAAAGGCAAAAGAGAGTGAGTAGCCAAATGGGAAAAGACAAATTGTAACAATAATTGAAAGTGACTTCTTATTTATTTTTTTCTCACCCACCTCCTATAGACTTGAGAAAGACTTCATTATTCAGAATTTTAAGAATTGTACAACTATATATATACTATTATACGTACACACCATATAGTAAATCATCAGTTACTTTATTAAAAATCAGGTAATATGAATAAACAACTAAATCAATTTAGTGCCATATTTGTAACAAATGTGCCATATCGAATTTGAGAAAATCATTTTTGGATCAAGCAACGAAACGAATTTACATAGTGACAAACTCGTCATAAAAAATAAGCGTAGATAATTTACATATTGTGTTAGATACTTAGCAGTAGAAATTGGCTTGGTAGCTGTCGTCTATACAATAAAATCAATCCGTTTGAATTCTAAAGTCTTTTCCTTTGAATTTTGTGTCATAGGATTTTTAAGAAAGCAAAGAGAGAGAGAGAGAGGGAACTCTTCTGTTCTGTCAGAGATTCACAGGAAGGAAACATGTTCTGGTTTCTAAATTGGGAAACTAATGATTATAGAGGAAGAGTTGGGTCCAAAGCGATTTTCGTCATTCCAACTGTCCCTCTCTTCTGCATCCCATTCCTATATTGTATGGCTTGTCTACCTTATTATACACATACGTACATATAACATAGATATAGTTATTGAGTCTTTTCTTTATATAGGTGACTTCCATTAATGAGTTCAAAATAAATTTCTCACAACCACTCAAATACAAAATGCTAATTAAATATCGTTGGACATCTCAAATTTTTAGAACTTCAGCTCAATTCTTAAATAAGAAGTAACATAGAAGGTGCTCTTAGAACATGTCAGCTCAATTCTTAAATAAGAAGTAACATAGAATGTGCTCTTAGAACATCTCCAAAAAGATTTTCTATATTAAAGTTTCCAAAACTTTATATTTGAAATTTCAAGGTGTTATTTTCCAAAGGTAAAACTTCAAACTTCCGAAATTATTTGTATTTTATATTATGATCTTTATACTTGTCATAGTTAATATAAATTCATAAAACATTTATAAACAACAAACACACACACACATTCACACACATATTAATTCATAAAATCTTACACTAAAATATAAAAATAAATGATTAAATATTAACTACAAGAAGAAAACCACATATTTTTGTCTAATTTTAGTTTTAAATTTTTTAAAAATACTAAACTAAAAGAAAATATTTTAATTTTATTATTAATTTTTGTTTAGTTTTATTTCTAAAACTTAAATTTATAAAAAGTAAAAGTTAATTTGAAACATTTATGAGATATAAATTTTATTTTTAATTGTAAGGACCAAAATGCAACTAAGAAGATGAAATTTCAAATTTTTATTTTTGAATATTGAAACATAAAATATAGAGTTTCACTCTTCAAAACTTCAAATTTGAAGTTTTGAAATTTTTTTTTTAGAGCAAAAAACTCTATATTTGAAATTATAGAGTTTCTTTTGGAGATGCTCTTAGTAAATGCCTAATAACTTATAAGTGTTTTGATTTTTCTATTCGTGTAAAAAATATTCACATAACTTATAAGTGTTTTGATTTTTCTATTTGTGTAAAAAATATTCACATAGACAAAATTTATTTTTATGGTACGTATTACGCACTTTAGGTTATTACGTGGGCTAGGCCCATTGTATATTTCATACAGCCCAATAAAAATTGACCAAATGATGAAACTAGACACTTCCAGTTCTTGTCTTAATAATGTAACTAGTCCAACTTTCTGTCTCTAGGTTTCTCCACCGATCAAGAGTTGTTTCATCTCATCTCCAAAGATGTCCTCCTCATGGAGAAAGTACAAGACGCGTAAGCGAGACCCAAACCCTAAAAACGTCGCACTTCTCGTCATCGATTTACAAAACTACTTCTCCTCCATGGCCAAGCCTATCCTCCACAACGCTCTCACCACCATCGACCTCTGCCGACGCGCCTCCATCCCCGTATTCTTCACGCGCCACGTCCATAAATCCCTTACTACTGACACCACCATGCTCGGTGAGTGGTGGAACGGTGACCTGATCCTCGACGGCACCCCTGACTCCGAGCTAATCCCCGAGATCGGTCTCCAAGTTAAAGGACAAGAAGAGGTCGTGGAGAAGAACACGTACAGCGCGTTTCACAACACGTGTCTCCAGGAGAAGCTGGTGGAGATTGGAGTTGAGGAAGTGATCGTGATTGGTGTGATGACGAATCTTTGCTGTGAGACGACGGCGCGTGAGGCGTTTGTTAGAGGGTTTAGAGTTTTCTTCTCGACGGATGCGACTGCTACGGTTAATGAGGAGCTTCACCATGCAACTCTCATGAATTTAGCTTATGGCTTTGCTTATCTTGTAGATTGTGATATACTTAGGCGTGGGCTTTTACGTAATTAACCAATAGTACATTAGTACTACCTTTACTTTGTTAGATATTGTCTTGTAGATATGTTGTACTTGATGTCCAAAAAGTTGAAAGTGTACTTGTATCGAAGTACTTTACGGTTTTCTTGAGAAACCAAAGTACTCTGCCTTAATAAATAAAATTGATGTATATATAAAGAAATTCGGAACTGAGGAGAGTCTCAGGCGTTACAATTTATTGAATTTGATGTATAACATTCCCAGATGTGCATGAATCACGAATACAGACATTACATTGCATGGTTTTTTATTTGCATCCCTTCAATACATCAGAAGTTTTTTATTTGCATTTTTGTAGATTTTTTTGTCAAGAAATAAATTAGATAGTTGTGAAATAGTGAAAGAATCATTTTTAAAATAAGAATTTCTGAAGAATTATACATGTGACATGTCTAATAGCATGTGTGTTTGCTTAAATCTGTTTATTAATTTTCTGAACAAATATAGAGAGATGATCAATAATCTGTGGAGTAGTAGAGAAATAATCAAAAGGGATACGTAGGAAGTTTCTTGTTAGCAAGAAAATGGTAAACAAGCTGAAGTGCCTCTCTAGGTTTGAATGTAGGAACTTGGTGTCCTGCTCCTCTCACCGTAACAAACATTAGCCCGTCGTACTCCACCGTCCATCCGCCGACTTGTTGTTTGTTTGTGTACCACGGTGTCCAGTCTTGGACTGTCTTAAGACCAAGCTTCTTTAATGAGTATCTTGTTGCAGTCACTGGGATTCTTCCATCTGTATCCCCACTATTTCACCACAAAAATTGAATAGGTTATTGCCAATTTTCCTTAAATACTACTCCTGTTTAAAAATATGTTCATTGTTTTAAAATTTTCACATATATATAAAAATTTATGAAATTTTGATTACCAATACATTATTTTTTCTTTTTTCGTAACTAACTATTCCCTGTAACTTTTAACCAATATAATTTTAATAAACATTTTAAAAATTAAAAATCACCATTAATTGATGTATTGAAAATGTAAAAAAATGATTATTTTGAAACAAAAAATATTCAATATTATATGCAATATTTTGAAACATAGGGAGTAATAAATAAAGAACCAATATTAAGGAGCAAGTGTTATGTACCTGAAAACCCATACGCGTAATCCAGCTGAAACAAGTGTTCTTAAGGTAGGAAGCATGGAAGCGGGAGCGTCTGACCAAAACGAGATATGATCGCTGCACATATAGTAGTAACCATGCATTGGTTTATTAGATCAAACACAAAATATCCGAAGAAGGATAAATAAACAGTATTCATATAATTATAACTATATACGCTTTCTATATTATTTCATTAGAGAAAAATATGAAAACTGAATGTTAAGCTTATAACCAGAGACAATGTTCTAAAAATCAGTCTACCCCAAACCGTCCGTGTAGAGACTAATTCTCTATAAACATGTACTTACTGCCTATCGATTTTTTGAACATTGACCATAAACAAGTTTGAACATCATGATAGTACCTGCAATGAGTCCAAGGGTAAGGGATGTTAGTGACATTGGCATGAAGTGCTTCTTGAACGTCTCTCCTGTTCATATACTTTTCTGTATACTCCGATGCACATGGATCATACCCGGCCGCCATCTTCCGCCATCCCTCCTACATATCATTCAATTATATATGTAACCGG